ACTCACAGAAAGCAAGTCGAGACAAATAGGGTATTTGAATTTCTAGCTGGCCTGAATTCAGATTATGACATTGTGAGGCAACAGATACTGACCAGAGATAGTGTGACCCTCTCTCAAGCATACTCCTTGGTGCATAGTGAAGTGACCAGGAGGAAAGTCATGATGCGACCTCAGCCCCTTTCCCCAGCCCTAGCAGCTGTTAAACCTAAGTCAGGGGTGATCCAGAAAGGGACAGGAAGAAGGAAGATAAACGGGACATGGTATGTGAACATTGCAAGAAACCCAAGCACACAAAAGATACTTGTTGGAAGCTGCATCCTCATTTGGTCCTAGCAAAATTGAGAAATAAGAAGGGTAATGCTCATGTGGCTGTGAATACTGATTCAGCATCCTCGTCAAGCACAAAAGGCACACCCCTAGAGACCTTAGCCGCGGTTCGGGCTACCCTAATACAGTTGGAAAAGGAAGTTGGGAGTTCAACTCAGCCATCTCAGTCACCATCAGTCCTTGCCACATCTGCATTTGCACATTCAGGTACTCGAGCCTCAGCCTACCATTCTTCAGCTCCAAGTAATACTGAACACTGTTGGGTAATAGATTCAGGTGCATCCGACCATATGACTAGCTTGTCATCATTGTTCACTAATCACTTATCCTCAGGTAGAGATAAAGTATCCATTGTTGATGGCTCTCTTGTTCCCATTTCTGGCAAGGGTGACACCAAGTTATCGGATACTATCTCTTTATCTTCTGTCTTGCATGTTCCTAAGCTTGATATTAACCTACTTTCAGTCAGTAGTATTACCAAACATATGAACTGTTCAGTAACCTTCTTCCCTGACTGATGTGTTTTTCAGGACTTGGAGACGAGGAAGGTGATTGGGACTGGCCGTGAGACGAATGGGATCTATCTGCTCGGAGAGAGTTCTCGTTGGGAAGAGCCAGTGGATGAGAAGTTCTTTGTTTCTCAATTTGTGAATCCGGTTATGCTTTGGCATAATCGATTAGGTCATTTATCTTTCTGGTCCTTGAAGAGTCTGTTTCCTGCTTTATTTGAGTCTGTTGAGTTGTCAAAGTTGAGATGTGAGAATTGTGAGTTTGCCAAACATTGTAGAACATCTTATTCTTTGAGTAATAAAAGGARTAATWATTCTTTTGATATTGTGCATACTGATGTTTGGGGGCCATATCACATCCCTTCTATGGGTGGGTACATATATTTTTTGTTGTTTGTTGATGACCATACCTGTTTTTCTTGGGTCTATCTTATGCGTTCTCGAGATGAGGTTCCCAATCTGACCCAAAACTTTCATCAGATGATTCTAACCCAGTTTGGGGCCAAAATCAAAGTTCTTAGATCTAATAATGCAAAGGAATACTTTGCTAAGCCATTGACCTCTTACCTCTTTAATCATGGAGTTATTCACTAGAGTACTTGCCCTCATACACCACAGCAGAATGGGGTTGCCGAAAGGAAGAATAGGCACATCTTGGAGGTGGCTAGAAGCATTATGTTTACCCCCAATGTACCTATTCGCTTCTGGGGTGATGCTATCCTCACGGTAGTATATCTCATTAATCGGGTTCCTTCTCGGGTTCTTGATATGAAAACCCCTTTTTCCCTTTTATACCCAGACGAGGAGTTGTTTACCGTTCCCCTTAAACCTTTGGTTGTACTTGTTTCGTTCAGCTTCTCGGGCCCCATCATTCCAAGTTTGAACCTAAGGCCTCCAAATGCATTTTCCTCGGTTATGCACAAACTCAAAAGGGTTATTGCTGCTATGATCCTGTTTCAGGGAAGAAGTTTGTCTCCATGGATGTTACCTTCTTTGAGGAGACACCCTATTATTCTAGGGTTTCTCCTTAGGGGGAGAGCAGTGAGAGTGGGGATTTGGGTCTCTTTCCTCAGGGGAAGCGCAGTGGGAGTGGGGCTGTTCCTTTACCTATTCCATTGGGTGATGAAGGCTGTAATGGTGAGGGTGGTCAGAGGGATCAGGAATTGAGAGTCTATCACAGGCGATGCAGGCAGGTT